CTGCGCAGCCGCTCACAGCCGTGCGTGCTGGACGAGAGGCCAGGGCGGCGCAAACGCCGGCGCGACGAGGACACACGCTGGCCAAGGCCCGCGCTGGACTTCCTGAAGATGACACGGGTGAGGCGCGGGGCAGGGCGCCCAGGGACACTCGGGGCCTGCAGCCGTGGGGTGCAAGGAGCTGGGGAGGTGGGGGACACACCTGCAGCTGTGGGTGCAAAGATCCAGGGAGGTGGGGGACACACCTGCAGCTGTGGGGTACAAAGAGCGGGGGAGGTGCGACCTGCAGCTGTGGATGCAAAGATCCAGGGAGGTGGAGGACACAACTGCAGCTGTGGGGTGCAAGGAGCTGGGGAGGTGGGACCTGCAGCTGTTGGTTGCAAGGAGCTGGGGAGGCAGGGGACACACCTGCAGCTATGGGGTACACGGAACCGGGGAGGCGGGACCTGAAGCTGTGGGGTGCAAAGAGCCGGCGAGGCGGGGGGGGGGACCTGCAGCTGTTGGTTGCAAGGAGCTGGGGAGGCAGGGGACACACCTGCAGCTGTGGGGTGCAGGGAGCCGGGGAGGCGGGACCTGAAGCTGTGGGGTGCAAAGAGCCGGCGAGACGGTGGGGGGGACCTGCAGCTGTGGGGTGCAAGGAGCCGGGGAGGCAGGGGATACACCTGTAGCTGTGGGGTGCAAAGAGCCGGGGAGGCAGGACTTGCAGCTGTGGGGTGCAAGGAGCCGGGTAGGCAGGACCTGCAGCTGTGGGGTGCAAGGAGCCGGGGAGGCAGGACCTGCAGCTGTGGGGTGCACTCTGGTCTGTGGGGGACCCGTCCTTCAGGAGCTGCAGCTGCCTGACCCCCAGGTCCCCGTTTTCCAGCCCCCTCTAGCCTGCGCTCTTGGTCTGGCCTCTCCAAGGCCCCCAACCATGGGAAGACCAGTAACAGGGCTCCCTCTAGGGCCTGGTGAGGACCCCTGCCCCTGGGCCTCAGTGCTGTTCCCCTTCACCCCGGGGTCATCTCAGTGGGGTTCTGGAGGGTGAGCACTGATGATTTAAGTGGCCAAGCCCCGTGTACCCGGCCGGGCTTGGTTCACTGTGGGGTCTTTGGTGATGGGGCTCTCCTCCAGTTCACCGAGCTGGAGAGGGTGTCATTGAGGTGCATGGGTGTCCTGGGACTGCCCACTCTGTACTCGAGAAGCCACTTGGGGACTTCGTGCCCCTGACTGCACGTGGAGGGCGTGAGGGAGGGCCCCATAGGCCTGAGCAGCTGAGGCTGAGCTGGTGGGGACACAGGCGGCCCCCTGGCCACTTACCTTCCCACGTGGCCGTGGGGCACAGAGTCTTCCGAGCATGGGGACCTGTGGCCTTAGCAAGTTCCCAGACTCCACAGTCCTGGATCCGTTTATCAGTGAATCGGACTCCTTTCCTGGGTCCCCAGTCCTCATACTCTGAGGTGCTCTGTGTGAAGCGAGACGTCTGTCTGTGTCTGGGGTCAGGTGGGTGACACCTGGGCCGCCCTCCGGTGAGAACGCTGTTGCTGGAGTTTAGAGTCTTTGTCACTGTCAGTTACAGTCAGGAACTCCCTTCCTCAGCCGCACTGGCCGCATTTCCAGGGCTCGGTGGCTGGTGGCCGAGGCCACTGGGCTCCACGCCTGATGGACTACAGACCTTGCCTTCCTGACTGCTGGGCTCTCTGGAATATTCTCCCGGTGACTGAGGAGTGCGTGTCCATATGGCTGGTACTTTGTTTGCTGAAATACTTTTCTTCTGAGCCCCGGGGTGTAGACAGGGAAGGTTCTGGAGAAGGTAGATGTCCGTGGTGAGTCACATGCAGTGTTGGGAAAGCCCGGAGTTTTAGGATTCCTTGGGCAACTCGATCTGCCTTTGCTTCTCCAAAGAAGCCAGTCCTTTACGTTTCCAGCCCAGCGTCTTCTCTTCTTCTTCCGGGCACCTTCCTGTCTTGGTTGTCCAGCCCTGCTGTAAGCGAGGCACCACAAAAACCCAAGCCCATTGCTGTTGGACCAGAACCAACTCGTAGCTGACCCTCTGGTGGGTTTTCCCAGGCTGTAATTGCCCGAGGAGTCTGCTTTAGCTGGTGGAGTCTCCGTGCCTGCCTTGAGTTCACTCCCTGCCTGCTGGGCCGCCAGAGTTCCCTAGAACTATGACGAGTGCGTGGCTTTGACCAGTTGGAATGGCTTCTCTGTCACCGCTCAGAGACCACTCTGAATTGTAACCAGAGCTGGACACAGTAAGCTTCTTGTTGTTGATGCTGTCGAGTCAAGCATGACTCATAGCGACCTGAAGCCTTTCGAGAACTATCGATCCTCAAAGATCATAGTTTCCAGAGGCATGTTGTTTAGGAAGGGGTTCATACGTTTTTGGAGACACAGTTCACTCCTTAACACATACATAGTGACGAGACGTTTTAGCAGAGGCACCAGCTGCCTCCGTGTGGGTAACCCCTCTGGTGCGGTCATCTTCTCCATGAGGCCTGGGTACTCCTACTCCCGCCCTCACTGTCCTGCACGGGTGGGTCATGGCGTTGTGTCCCAAACACTGGTCTGTGCTGCTGAAGAAAAGAGTTGTGGTTTGATGGAGGACGCTGGTGTGTCGATGGCTGGGCTGCGTCTGCACAGTTGGGAGGCCAGGGACCGTCTTTTTCCAGTTGACCTTTCACGGTCACACAGCGGCAGTTCCGCGGCCCTCGTGTCGGGCTCGGTGACCCCAGCCACCTCCTTCCAGTCTGCAGCTCTGCTCACTGTCCTTTCCTGGACTGTCCCTTCTGTCAGCGTGAATAGCTTATCTAACCTTTCGAGGTTCTCGTGTCAGTTTGAGCACATACATGCACATGGTTCACCCTTTTTTTATTTTTAATCTTTTTTTTTCTTTTTTTATTATTAAATTTTATTAGTTTTAATGAACATTTACAGAGATTTTGGGTTTGCATTCATTCATTGTTGCACTTATTTTTAATTTTGTTGAGATTTGAGTGACAGTTCTCGGTGAAAAATTGGTTTTCTATTCAGCCTTTCATACACATCGCATTTCATGACATTGATCATAATTCCCGCATCATAAGGGTGTGCCTCCCTCTTCCCCGTTCCCCGTTTACATTCATCCTTCTGTCCTCTCCCTTCCTTTCTTCGGAGTTTTCCCCGGAGGCTGATACTGCCCTTTGGTCTCGTATAGCGGTCACTCCAGAGTGCAGTCTTCACAGCCAGTGTGGTGCTGTTAACCTTACAGGCCTCTCTGTTGTTTGGCTCGGGAGCTCTGGTGGGTACAGAGTGGCACTGCTAACCCAAAGGTGGGCAGTTTGAATCCACCAGCTGCTCTGTGGGAGAAAGATGAGCGTTCTCCTCCCGTGTGGTTTCACGCCTTTCAAAACCCTCTCGAGAGTCAGCTCCGAGTCCCTTCTGACTGGATGGCGCCTCTGTCACGACAAGAGAACAGTTTGGATAGAAGTTGTGAGTAGTCCGTGATTTCAGCTCCAGGCCTGATGACTAAGGGCCAGGGAGTCTTCTGGCTCTGTCAGGCCAAGAAGCGTGGGCGTAGGCGTTGTTTGTTTTTATTTATTTATTTAGGCGTTATTTATTTTTAAAATAATTTTGAACTGTGCCCTTTGTGTTCACCCCTCTATCAGGGAACTTCTGTGTGGTCCCTCTCAGTTCGTAGCGCAGCAGGGTACTGCCAAGGTCTTTTGGTTAAGATGTTGAACAGAAGGGCAACACGAGAAGACAGAGTGAAGTATTACAATGAATGGCGCAAAGAGCTGGAGTCAGAAAATCAGAAGGGCTGAACTTGCTCAGCATTTCTTAAGTGAAAGGAAAATTCAAGCCTTGAGTTGGAATACTTAAGGACGCTGTGGGTGAATATGAAATGATCCAGGAAGCATTAAAAGAAGATGGAAGGAGTCTACAGAGTCACTGTACCCAAAAGAATTGGTGGACACAGAAAAATTGCCTGAAACAACATATGATCAAGAGCCTGTGGTGACGAAGGAGGAAGTTCAGGCTGCTCTGAAGGAAATGGCAAAAAACAAGGCCCCAGGAATTGACAGTATACCAGTTGACATATTTCAACAAACAGACGCTGCCCTGGACGTGCTCAGTAACTTGTGCCAAGAAATATGGAGGACAATCACTTGACCAACTGACTGGAAGAGATTCATATTTGTTCCCATTTCAAAAACAAGGTGACCCGACAGAGTAAAGAAATGACTGAACACTTGCATTAATATCACATGCAAGCAAGATCCTGCTGAAAATGAGAAAAAAAATTAAAGAGCACATCATCAGAAAACTGCCAGATGTGCAGGCTGGGTTTAGAAGAGGCTGTAGCACTAAGCATATTATAGCTAACGTTAAATGGATCTTAGCTGAAAGCAGAGAGTACCAGAGGAATGTCTATCTGTATTTCATTGATTATGCAAAGGCATTTGACTGTGTGGATCACAACAAACTGTGGCTGACTCTGAAAAGAATGGAAATCCTAGAAAATGTGACTGTGCTTATGCAAAGCCTATACTTGGACCAAGAGACACTCATCAGAACAGAGCAAGGAAACATTGCCTGGTTCAGAATCAGTAAAGGTGTACACCAGAGATGTGTCCTATCTCCGTACCTTTTCAGTCTATATTCAGTACAGATCGTCGGCAGGCTGGGCTCTGTGAGGAGGAATGTGGCAACAGGATTGGAGGAAGATTCATCAACAACCTGTGTTATGCAGATGACACAACCCTGCTTGCTGAAATTGAGGACCAGAGGCACTTGCTGCAGGAGGTCGAGAACTGCAGCCTTCAATATAGATTGAAGCTCAACATCAAGAAAACAAAGATTCTCACCACTGGATTGATTGGCAGCATCATGATAGACGTGAGGAGATTGAGGTTGTTGACAGCTTCAGTTTGCTTGGCTCTACAGTCAACACTCTTGCTACCAGAAGCCAGGAAATCAAAAGACAAATTGCACTGGGAAAGTCTGCTGTCAGGGATCTCTTCAGAATACTGAAGAGCAACAATGTCAGTCTAGAGACTGAGGTGCACCTGATCCAGGCCATGGCCTTCGCCATTACTTGCTGTGCATCAGAAAGCTGGACGAGGGAGTGGGTGGGGGAAGAGGGCTGGGCAGGGAGAAAAGTGCAACAATGAATGAATGGAAATCTAAAATCTCTGTAAATGTTCATTAAAAATTATTAAAAGAAAATAAAAAAAAACCGCTGGACAATGACTAGGGTTGCTAGGAGGAGAATGAATGCCTTTGAGCTGTGGTGCTGGAGAAGAGTACTGAGTATACCACGAACTGCTAGGAGAACAAACAGGTTGCTCTTAGAGGAGTGAAACTGGGCTGCTCCTTGGAGGCAAAGATTCTGAAGCTCCGTCTGACATACTTTGGACATAGGGCCAGGAGGGCCAGTCCTTGGAGAGGGACGTCATGCTTGGGAGGGTGGAGGGACAGTGCAGAAATGGAAGGCCCTCTATGAGGTGGATTGATTCAGTGACTGGGGTAATGGGGTGAGGTGTGTCAGAGACGATGAGGTTGGCTCAGCTTAGGGCAGGGTTCATTCAGAGGCACGTAGGGTCAGTGTGAGTCTCAAGTGACTGGACGGCGCATACAACTCCATCAGGATCTTCTGTTCGGTCCCGTTCAGGGCCATCTACAGGGCAGCTGGACCTCAGGGTCATGGAGACTGAAGTTCACATGGTTCATTGTCCTTTGAACTTAGAGTCTTTGATTTTCTTTCCTGTCTCTGTTCCTGTTGGAAGAACCTGGGGGTCTCTGTGAGCCCTCCACCCCTGCCTTAGTTCAGGGGTGCGATATCTTCCCCCTGGGTGGCCGACGAGGTGGGGTTATGGGATGCTGCCCTCCGGGCTCAGCCTGCCTCTCCAGGTTGTCTGTGCTGTTGATTTCGTCCCACCTCTCACCTTCCCTCTTCTCTCGGTGCGTGACAGTCGGGCGTTTCCATTTCTGCTTGGGGAGGCTCGGTGTGTGGGTATGCCCCGCTGCCTGAGCCTTTTACAGGGTGCTGTGCGGCAGTTGCATGCTGGGAACCCCGTGTCTACCTGGAGCTCTTCCCTGGGACCTGGTCCCGTTTCACAGGGAAAGTCCTTCAGGGGCCAGGTCTCTGCATTGGGGTGCTAGTCACCATGTGGCCCCCTGAGCCTGGCACCCCCCATTCCAGAGACGTCCACCTCTCCTCAGGGGGTGGGGAGGGGAGTTTAGGGATCTGATCACTTTTCCTACCTGCTGCCTATGTACAGCTCTTCTCATACGACATAGACAGACAGACAGACACAGCCCTGTCCATGTGTGGTGTGGAGGGGGTTGGTCTGGCGTGGAGGGGGTTGGTCTGGCATGGAGGTGTTGGCCTGGGGTGTAGGGGGTTGGTCTGGGATGGATGAGGGTCGGTGTGGGGTGGACAGGAGTTGGTTTGGGGTGGACGGGGGTAGGGTGGAGGGGTCGGTGTGGGGTGGAGGGAGTCGGTCGGGGTGGAGGGGGGTTGGTTTGAGGTGGACGGGGATGGGGTGGACCGGGTTGGTGTGGGGTGGAGGGGGTCGGTCTAGGGAGGACGGGGGTTGGTCTGGGGTGGAGGGGAGTTGGTTTGAGGTGGACGGGGATGGGGTGGACCGGGTTGGTGTGGGGTGGAGGGGGTCGGGGTGAAGGGGTTGCTCAGGGTTGGAGGGGTTGGTCTGGGGTGGACGGGGGTGGGGTGGAGGGGGTCATGGTTAAGAAGGCAGCTCCACAGAGGTGCCATGGGATGGGGCTCCTGGGCCCCAGGGTCACTAGGGAGGTGTCCACTGGGCTTGCCCAGCACTGGGCATGCTTAGACAGTGCACTAGCTGGGCGCAGACAGGACAGGCTCAGGACTGCTGTGGTTGGGGAGACACGGCTGTCTGGGGTGTAGACTGTGGGTCCACATGGAGCCGTATGATGGCCGCGGAGGGCGGGCAGGGCACTGGTGGCCCCTCCGCCATGGATGGAGAGGAGCCCTGGGGTGCCCGCTGAGGCCGCAGGGCCGAGGCCAGGCTGGAGCAGAGGCTGGAGCAGACGGGGATGCAGCTCGCCGCCGACCTCGCCCTCACCCCTCTCCTTGCAGACACTGAAGAACTCCAAGAGCCTGTGCTCCCTGGACTACGACGATGAGGACGAGGACGACGCTCACGCCAAGACCGTGGTGTCGTCGCCGTGTGACTCGCAGGACCTGCCCAGCAGCGCCACACCGGGCTCCAGCCCCGCGAGGGTCCTGCGCCCCTGGACGCCGCGGGACAGCGAGAGCGCAGGGGTCCCCAGCGACGGGGACAGCGCGGAGGAGGAGGAGGGCATCTTCCCGCTGGACTGTGCTGACCTGGACCTGGAGCAGATCGAGAACAACTGAGGCCCGTCTGCCCAGGCCGGCCGCGGATCACGGGTCCGCGTCCTTTGAACGTTGAGGCATCCTTTTGATTAAATTTTCCTAAAGAAGTATTTTGCATTTTTATGGCTTTTACAGTTCTGGAGAAAGCTTCTCTATTTTGGAATGAATTTTCAGAAGGGCATTCTATTAAACGTGCGTCCGCAGATCCACTCGTGTGCATGTGTGCTTGGGGGTGCGGCGAGAGGTGCGGGTTTCCGTGGGCAATGGTGACTGGGGGGCAGACCCCGGCGGGTGGTGTCTTGGGACCCTGCACTAGCATGACACCTGGCTGTGTGGACAGTAAGGACATGACCGTCCTGGGCACCTGCCTCACAGTTTCCAGCCGGAAGTGGTGCTGCCAGACAGGCAACAGGCAGCACTTGCCATGGGCAGCTTCCCCCGAGGTCAGTGCATGGCCTGCCTCCTGGTACCATGGTGCCTGGCGATGGTTAGGATGGCAGCCAGGGGTGCCCTGGACTGTTGTTTTCTAACTGTGGAGTGGCCGAGAGTGCCATGGACTTGATTAGCTGTAGGTTTACACCAAGGGTGACCGCTGGGTCAGCCTCTGTGACTGAGGGGCCTGTGGAGCTGGCCTGGCTCCCCAGAGGGGATTGGACCCAGGTGACAACTGTGAGTGGAGTTTAGGTCACAGGCGTTTGTAACACTTCTCTGTCTCAGGCCCTGTGGTTTAACAGGAAGGAGTTTATGATATGGGAAGAAGGCATTCATAATCTTGGTAGTCATTTGTTGATTCTGGAAGGTCACTCGCCCCTGCCCCCCATCTGCCTGACCTGCGCCGATTTCCAACTGAAGGAGGACAGAGAACGATTGTTCAGACCAGCCGAGCTGTCTTGAACCACCTTGGCCCGTGCCCTGTGAGGTGGGGGGATCTTGGGCTCTTTCACTTTGTGATTCAACACGCCAGGTGCGTCCCCTCCTCCTCCTCACTCCGTCCCTGTGTCAGGTGCCCTGCACAGCTCGTGGGACTACCCGGCAAGGTGGGCGTCCGTGTGCGGGAAGGGCCATGCTGACCACGCATGTAGCCATCCAGTGTGCCCTGGCCTGCACAGGCCTTCTACACACACACGTATGCACACACTTGTGCCAGTGCACACACACAGGTGAGCAGACACACAGGCACATATGTGGACACATGCATGCAGGCACGGGTGTGCACATGTACACACATTTATGTATATAGACATGCACGGAGGCACAGGCAGGTATGCACACACAGGTGTGCACGTGTACACACAGGTGTGTACATAGACATGCAGAGGCTTAGGTACGCACACACAGGTGTGCATGTGTACACACAGGTATGTCCATAGACATGCAGAGGCACAGGCAGGTATGCAGAGGCGTGCATACAGATATGCACACAGGTGTGCACGTGTACACACAGGTGTGTACATAGACATGCAGAGGCATATACAGACATGCACGGAGGCACAGGCCGGTATGCAGAGGCGTGCATGCAGGTATACACACAAGCTAGTGTGCATAGGTGTGCACTTTCACACAGGTGTGGACACAATGTGTGTACACGTAACACAGGTACACACATGTGCTTGCATGTATGTACATAACCTTCCATACATTCTAAACAGCGAAACGATCAGCTCTATTACTTAAACCAATTCAGTAAATATAAAACTAAAAGGATATAAGAAAGTCCATCCAGTGGGAGATTCAGAGACGCTCTCCTGAACAACTCCTGGGTCAGGGAGTAAATAAAGGTGCTGACGGGCGGTTTTACAATTATCCTGAGAGACCAAGGAGGAGGTGCGGAGAATTCACGGCCTTAAACGCCTTTATTACTGAGTCAGAGAGACGGGAAATAAATGAACTCAACATTGGACACAAGGAGGGGAAAACAGGACCATAAAGTAAATCCAAGGGAGGCGGGGGCGTGGAATAGAGATAAAGGCGGAATTAATGAATTGGAAACAAGAAAAACGGTAGAGGCCATCGGTAAATCCAAGAGCCGGTTCTGCGAAATAAATAACCAGCCCTGACCGGCCTCAACCGTAGAGGAGCGCGGGGGAGGCAGGCGACAGTCCAGAGTCTGGGTGAGGCTGACTAATTTCAAAGGCAGCGTAAATTATGGAAATTAACTGAAAAGGCTTAACTCGGGCCTGCACCTAACTGCAGAACAGGGAAGGTGCACGCTCGTGGCTCTGCTGTGGCCACTGTATCTCTGTCCAGTTGGCACGCAGGAAGGGAAAACGGCACGTCCGATGGGGGAGGTGGCTTGAGAGGCGGCAGGGACCTGAAACAGGTGACCTGGCCGAGCTCAGGCAGACAGGTGACTCCAGAACCTTGGTCCTTAACGTGGGGACGGGCCTAGGAACAGGCTCGGAGGGCATCTCAGGGTCGTGGTAGAGGAAGGCTGAGGAGGGCCAGCTGCTGAGAGACGTGTCCTGCTCCCGAGGCATTTTGAAGCTCTTCTTCCTGCATCTGTGTCCACTTGTGGCATCTGTGACCCTGGGATGTGGTCAGAGCTGTTTAGTGCAGCTGCAAAGGCTCATGGGTGACGGTGCTGGAGGCATTGATGAGTCAACAGTACAGTTCTCACCTCCTACCCAGGAGACGCAGGTTCGATTCCTGGCCGGCTGTCAGTGGAGGCATATGTGTGTTGCTGACTCTTTTCATGCAACTTCCAGACTTAGACTAGGGAGAAAAGCCTGGCTTTATGCTGATGACACAACCCTGCTTGCTGAAACTGAGGAGGACTTGAAGCGCTTGCTACAGAGGGTCAAGGACTGCAGCCTTCAATATGGATTGAGGCTCAATGTCAAGAAGACAAAGATTCTCACCACTGGGCCAATTGGTAGCATCAGGATGGATGGTGAAGAGATTGAGATTGTTCACAACTTCAGTTTGCTCGGCTCCACAGTCAACACTCTTGGCACCAGTAGCCAGGAAATTAAAATGTGCCTTGCCATGGGAAAGTCTGCTGTTAGGGACCTCTCCAAAGTACTGAAGAGCAATGGTGTCTCTCTGGAGACTAAGGTGCGTCTGATACAGGCCATGATCTTTGCAATCACTTGTTATGCATCAGAGAGTTGGACAGTGACTAGGGAGGATAGAAGGAGAATTGATGCCTTTGAGCTGTGGTGCTGGAGAAGAGTATTGAATGTACCATGGACTGCCAAGAAAACAAACAGATTCGTCCTGGAGAGGGTTAAACCAGTCTGCTCCTTGGAGGCAAGGATTCTGAGGCTTCGTCTAACATATTTTGGACATGTTGCAAGGAGGGACCGGTCCTTGGAGAGGGATGTCATGCTTGGGAGGGTGGAGGGACAGCGCATGAGGAGAAGACCGTCTATGAGGTGGATTGATTCAGTCACTGTGGTAGTCGGGGTGGGTGCGTCTGAGACAGTGCGACTGGAACAGGATAGAACAGGGTTTAGGGCTGTTGTACATAGGGTCTCTGTGAGTTGCAGGCGACTCGACGGCACATAACAACAACATCATCTATTTCTGAAGTATAGCAGTGAAAGTCTAATCTGACAGCCAAGGTAGAGACAGGCCTTTCTGCTGCTGAGTTTTTAGGAAGTTTATGATCTTTGTGGTCCCTTATTGAGAAGTTGGGAAGTTGCTGAGAATTAGGATCTTTTCCCTGGGAGCTCACGGTGTGGAAGTGGTGAGGTGGCCGGTGGGCAGTTGGGTGGGGGGCTGGCTGCAGAGGCCCCACACTTTGGTGACAAGGATTGTGTCCACTGCCCCACCTTGGCCAGCCGAGACTCCTGGTCATCCTTGGAGTTTCATCCCTGACCCCACAGTCTCCTCTGAGCGGGAGAGTAGAAAGAGCGGAGCAGCCTTAGCTCCTTGGTCTGACACTCCAGAGCCCAACGCTCAAGGGGCCTCTACATTGAAACCTCAGCTGGTGGACTTGAGCAGCAGCCTCCACTGTCCTCGTCCAGGTGAACTTTCTACTCCCTGTGGTGACTGGGAATCTCCCCTTTCCTGTCTATTTTGCAGAATTGGTGTATAAAATCCTCTGGGCTAGTGTTTCTTTTCAGGAAGATTTTAAACGTCTGCCTCCCATTATAGGACTTCTTGTGCGTTCTCTTTCTTCATGAGTCAGTTTTGGTCAATCTTTCTCCCAAGGAATTGATCTGTTTCCTCTCACTCAGGTTCTCATTGTCCCCCCCCCCCTTTTCTTATTGTGCACCGTTGAACCAGATCCGACTGGCACAGGAGGAGATTGCCCCTCCTTCTCCAGTGGAGCACCTGGTGGATTCGAACCGCGCGCCTTTGGGATCGCAGTGCATCTCAGTGCCTTTATAACTCTATTGCATCTGTTAAAGTCGTGTCTGTTTTCATGTCTACTGGAATTTCTGTAAGACCTTTGGTGAAGTGGGTGTGTTATAAGTTGGACTGTTAACCACAAAGTCAGGAGTTCAAATCCACCATCGGCTCTGAGGGAGGAGGTCAGGGTTGCCATGAGTTAGAAACGACTCAAGCAGTGAGTCTCTTCTGTAGTTTTTAGTATTTGCTTGCTCACTCTCTTTTCCCAAGTTCTGTTAGCATTTTCATTATCATTCAGTTCCGAGGGTCACACACACAGTCACACACACAGTCACATACACGGTCACACACACACACACACACGCTCACACACGGTCACACACACATGCTCACACACACACACGGTCACACACACAGTCACACACGGTCACACACACACATGCTCATACACACGGTCAAACACGGTCACACACACACACACACACGGTCAAACACACACGGTCACACACACGGCTACACACACATGGCCACACACACGGTCACACACACACATGCTCACACACACGGTCAAACACGGTCACACACACGGTCACACACATGGTTACACAGTCAACACACATGGTCACACACATGGTTACACACAGTCACATACACGGTCACACACACGGTCACACACATGTTCACACACACGGTCACACACACGGTCACACACATGGTTACACA